TTTTTTTTTTTTTTTTAAGAGAGAGAGTGAGTGTGTGTGTGAATGAAGGAGAGGAGCATAGAGAGAGAGAGAGAGAGAGAGAGAGAGAGAGAGAGAATTGCAGACAGGTTCCATGCTCAGTGTGGAGCTTAATGTGGGGCTGAATGCCATAACGCTGGGATCATGACCTGAGCCAAAACCAAGAGGCAGTGTTCAACTGACTGTGCCACCGAGGTGCCCTGAGTTTTATTTTTTTTTGAAGAACCTCTCTGCTATTTCCACACTGGCTGCACCAGTTTGCATTCTGATCAACACTGCAGGAAGTTTCCTTTTTCTTTTGTCTTTTCTTTTCTTCTTCTTCTTTTTTTTTTTTTTTTTTTTTGAGAGACAAAGTAAGACAGAGTGTTGAGTGAGGAAGGGGCAGAGAGAGAGGGAGACACAGAATCGGAAGCATGCTCCAGGCTCTGAGCAAACGTTCAGCATAGAGCCTGATGCGGGGCTTGAACTTACAAACTGTGAGATCACGAACAGAGCCAAAGTCGGATACTTAACGGACTGAGTCACCCAAGCACCCCAGAAGGTTCCTTTTTCATTGCATCCTTGCCAAAACTTGTTTCTTGTGTGGTTGACATTCACCATTCTCGCAGGTGTAAGGTGATATCTCATGGGAGTTTTGACTTGCATTTCCCAAAGATGAATTATGTCGAGCATCTTTCTAATGTGTCTGTTGATGATCTGTATGTCTTCTTTGGAGAAATATCTGTTCATGTCTTCTCATTTTTTAACTGAATTCTGTTTGTGGTGTTGAGTTGTATAAGTTCTTTATATATTTTGGATACAGATCCCTTATCAGATATATCATTTGCAAATACCTTCCCCAATTCAGGTTATTTTTTTGTTTTGTTGATTGTTTTCTTTGCTGTGCAGGCCTTTTATTTTCATGTAGTCCCAATAGTTTGTTTTTATTTTGTTTTCCATGGCTTATGAGACCTATCCAGAAAAATGTTGCTATGGCTAATTTCAGGGATATTACTGCCTATACTCTTTTTAGTATTTTTATGGTTTCATGTTTCACATTTAGGTCTTTAATCCATTTTGAATTTATGCTTGTGTATGGTGTAAGAAAGTGGTCCAGGTTCATTCTTTTGCATGTGGATGTCCAGTTTTC